TTTCTTGTTTCTGTCCTCTCTCTAACGGTACTGCCGTTGCCATTGAATGTCATAAAAATGTGTTTGAGGTGAGGTTAACAATAACAAATAAACATGTGTCTCTGTGTCTGTATCTGTGTGTGTGTGTGTGTTTGTGTGTGTGTGGCTCATATAAACAAATATGCAAATGTGCAAAGGAGAAGCGAAAAAGAGGGAAAAAGTGTAAACAAATATAGACCGTTAGGTGGGAGAGACCGTTGTGTACGTGTGTCTGCATGTACGAGTGTATGTGTCTATTCATTTACAAAATGCTGGCAAAAGTTGTGGCAATAAGACCAAGATGACGACAACGACATGAAGGAGGTGGAGACTGGCAGCAGCAGCAGCAGCAGCAGGAGGTGGCAGAAGCAGCAGGCGGTGTGACAGTAGAAGGACGAGAAGCAGAAGGTATATCGGTGGGTGTTTCTGCCTTTTTCCCTTTCGTTGCCAGCCGTTTTTTTTCAAGTCTAACGCGCTTATTTGTGTGTGTGTGTGTGTGTTGTGTGTGTGTGAGTTAGTGAGTGAGTTTGTGGACGCATCCGTGGTGTTTTCGTCTGGGAGGATCACACACACAAATGCCTATGAAAAGATTAATTATAATTTGATTGAATTCTGAAACACATTTTGTGTCTCATTCCCGAATATATTGAATTTTAAATTTATGATTTAAATTTGAATCGAGTTCAAAGAGCTTGCTGATGTTTCAATAACCTTTCTGATACAAATAATAAAAGTGAACAGAGTGCAATTCCCCAGAGCCGTCGGCGCGGGGGCCGAAAATTGTACCTAAACATATTTCATTTCCTACTTTTCTGTTTTTATTCCTACACCTAATACATCCCAAAGTATTCTGAAAACGAAAAGAATGCATAAATGAATAAATGCTGCGCGAAATAAATGTATTCCACAATTTTGTTCCAGACAATATTTTTCTGAACGTTTAACCTCATTCGGTTAGAATAATCCTACCAAGGCTTTTAAATGTGTAGATCCTTTAAATACCAACCATATTCATACGCTACGATGGGGGCGAAGGCAGTGCGTAATGTTTAACCACTCGGAAGCCTGAGAATGTTTTTAATTTTTGTTGGTGCCCCAGCAGAAATTTTCGCACAAATAATTTCAAGTTGCTACATCTCGAGATGAATTCCTGCGCTGACGCCATCCTTTGCAAGCTTGACTGACTGACGCAAAAGCCTTCCAAACATATGTAAATAAATACATATTTATGTATCTTTATGTATGTACATATCTGTGTAGAACAACAATTAAGTGAGGGAGAAACCCTTTTCCAAGCAGAATCGGGCAGGGCAGGGCAGGAACCTTTTCTTAAGCGCTTCTCATGACGAAAATTATGTACACATACTCGTCGTACCGAAGCATGTGCGTTTCGTATCACCATAATTCCAAACTGTCTGCACACTTACATAGCAATACTGAGGGGCAGGGGGAACATGTCTATTTCGCCCTGGTTCCATTTCCGCATATGCCGCGCCGCACCACACCTCATCATCGTCTTAGTCTACTTCTGCGTCGCAGATGGGGGCGTGTTCATAATTTATTTCTGGGTAATTGACAGTCAAGTTAAATGCTTTATGGAGGCGAGTGGCCAAAATGCTGTATTTCCAGCGAATATCACCTTAAAGGAATCCGAATTGGAGTGCCCCAACTTCGGCCTGCCCAGCCTGCTCCGATGTTAAATGGCGCGTAACATTTCACACTCAATTTGTGTCCTTCCCAACAAGAATGAGAAGGAGGATGCGGATGGGGAGGATGTGGAAGTGAGGGAATATTCGTGGTTTATTAATGTCAAATTTATGCAAATACTCAATTCAAAATTGACAACCAACGACTATCAAATTAATTAATGCCCCATTGGGCAGGCAAAACCCGAGGCCGTGGTCAAACACCAAGAGAAGATTGTTAAGTTCGAGTCCGAACTTTTTGCATTCCAGATTTTTCACTCCTCTTTGAAACTCGTGCTGGAACAAAGTTTTCCATCTCCTGCATAAGTTTGCCTTTTCTTTTCTCTCGCTGTCGAGAGTGTTTCATGAGGAGTGCAGCAGAGAAATGCACAAAGTGAATTAATTTGGGCCGAAGGTAACAAATGATGATAAATAGTTGCCAAGTCAACGACAGGCAACATCTTCCAGAGACGCCATCTCCTGCAATCATTGCTGAAATGTATCCCTAATGACATTTTCATTAAAATTCATTTTCCAGTTTCTTGTTTCAAGCAATCAACTGGGTATATAGGGAGTGTCTGGTCTATAAATATTTGAACATAAAATTTCTTGTCCTTTTAGTTGAAAATTGGCATAGCTATGCAGAATGTCATCTTCGTTTAAATTGAAGAATATAATAATAAAATAATTATGGATTATGAAGTAGAGATAGAGAAGAGAGTGAAGTCGAGCAAAATCCTCTGCTCACCAGGCAGATTTTTTACTGGCTTGGTCTGAAGCTCCCAACTGAATGGACTACTCTCGAAACGACCCTCGCTAGCATATTTATCGACTGAAGATATATGCGATTATGTAAAAATTCTTCACACAGCACCCTGTCTATTGAATTTTCGCGATAAATGCGGATTTTCTCCATACAAAGCCATCGAATTGCATAAATTTTCTGTAAGCCCGAAATTCACTCAAAATTATGAATAAATCAATTTACAAATATGCATTAGATAAGAATTAGCAGCAATGGCCTCACCTTCTGACTTATAACTGAGTCAAACCATCCAATTCCCATGGATCTACAGCGCGTAACTACCCATAAAATCAGTCTAAGCTATCCTATCTCTATAGTCGGTGCAGTTTGACAACTTTACGATTTTGTTTCCATGTGCATAAACTGGGCATAAACTGGATTGCCTTCAAACTCAAGAGAGTGATCTGGAGCGTACTCTGCGATACCCCGTATTCAATCGAGAGAGTCGCTCAGAACTCGCATAGAACATAGCTTAAAATATGAGCTGAGCTTAAAATAGGAGCCGCACAGCTTTGCTTATGCTGTTATCTAGGGGCAGTCTGATATTGCCCCATTTTAGTGTGTCATATGTAGGTACCAACGGAGCGAGGACAATTTTGGCAGCTCGAGGCCACTAGTCTCCACCAACCCCGACATTTGTCAAATTGTGAGATTTCCAAAAGAGCTTACGATGCTGACATGGCCAACTAGGCTGCCGTTCAGACTGCCTGGTCAAATCTGCTGGGGTTGCATTGTCTCTGAGATTAGACTCAATTGGAAATGCATGGAAATGTAATTGGGATGCATTCTTTACTCGTATTTTCATTGGAACAGTGTCCTTCTTTGTATGCATGGCTGATGATTGACGGGTGAAGGCGTGCGGAGTGCAGGCCCCTAGAAGGACCCAGGGCTGTGGCAAAGGGTTTACCGTGGGTGGGTAATTGATTTACCAAATACAAATGTTACCACTCACACTTGCTTCCTTCCCCCTGCCCACTGATATCCCCTACTTGGGTGTCACACAGGCGATATAGTTTCAGGCACGTACAAAAACCCTTTCCTTTGCCATGTGTTTTTCCCTCACTCTAAATTTCTGTCTCCGCTTAAGTTTCAGTTTCAGTTTAGGTCTCAGCTGTAATTGCCATATCGTCGCCCTGTAGTTTGCAATGGGCCAAGTAAATTGGTTTGACAACCGCAAAGGCCACGTGGGGCAATAGGCCATGTTTCGCATTTATTTCAGCTTTCGAGACAATCCCCAGCACGTTCGGGGCATGAAAATACTTTTCTAATAAAGAATCCAACACGTTTCGATACCCTCCAATAAGGGTGTTATCGTTCTGTCATAATTAAACTGTACCAAACCGAATTCTAATCACTCTCCTCCGTTAAAATGCAGCCCAAATTGGTTTGATTGTAACGGAAGAAATCACACGTACTCGTTCATATATTGAACTTTGTCTTCAGACTAGTTTTCGGGGAAAAATTCACTTTTCACTGTCAAAAGAACAATTTGTAGTGTGGTATTTCTCGCAACTCCGAAAAAAAAAATGTATTATGTATACAATTTTAATTTTTTTTAATCAAAATGATGTTTAGCAAGTTGGTATATACAAATGTAAGTATATAAACCCGTTCAACTGCTTTTATAATGCCTTAGGACTCAGCTCTCGATATCACATACTCCGTGTCTCCCCAGGGTATGCAAGGCTTCGACCAGCCCGCAAGCGTTTCTTCTTGTTTCATTCTAGTTTTATCAAATTTTAAGTCTATGCGAGTATGTGTATGTGGTGTTCACACATTCATATATATCTTTATAAATATGGCACTATGCTTGTTGTTGTTCATTTGTTTGCTGCTTACTTGGCAGATTCTTTAGGAAATTTAATGATTCTTTCGTGTTTCGAAACCAACAAAAAAAAAAAAACCCTCGTTTATTTCTGGCTCTAGCGAATATATTTTTTACTTACAGATCAAAATCGAGCATAGGAATCGATAACGCCTTAGCGAATTGGTTATTTTCTGCTGCTTCTCCTCCTCTGCGTGCCGAGATTTTGGCTGCAATTTGGCTTAACGAGCCGTTAACAACTGAATATTTGAATATTTAAATAAAATCTTATAAATACAAATTTGTTTGTGGCGGCTACACGCACACACCCACCCATACGGGCAGACGAATGTACATCTATATAATCGAATATAGATCCAGTGCAGGGGCCGACATATAAAGATGTATGTATATCCAATAAAATCGGACGTTGTTTCCGCCGCCAAAAAGACCGAAAAACGTTTTCCAAAAAAAACAAAAATGTTCCTCTAGTAAATGAAATTCGATTTTGTTTTGTTTAAGGTTTTTGTTTTTGTTTTTTCGAAATATTGGGAAATGTGTAGTGCAATATTTGCATTTTGCTTAGCCCTAAGCTTAATATTCTCAAATTGTTTACGAGTACTACGTATGTACATATGTACATATGTATGTGCTTTAGGTCTATTTGTATTATTTCGCTTACACGCACCTCTCTGACTCGATTATTTTGTTGGTGTTTTCGTTGCCGTTGTTGTTGTTGTTGCCTTTACCGCTGGTGTTGGCCCAGACCTCGAGCACAGTCAGCAGTATTCAAATTGTACGATATTTGCTTGCTCGACTTGTTTAAAGAATATTAGTATTATTTTATTTGTTTTGTTGTTTTTTATTTTCTTTTATTTGGTTTGGTTTGGTTTGGTTTCTTCTCTGTTTCAGCGTCTTTGCGCTGCCAAAATCCAACTCCAAGCTCACAGCACTCACAGATACACTTGCGGACCAGATGCAGATACTGATAGAGATACAAATTGAGATAGAGATATCACTTTACGATCCAGCTAGTGGGGGCCGCCCGACCGTCCCTCCCCGCCTAGTGCCAACCGCATCGAATGAACTTGACAATTCTCACGCGTTCGCCTTACGCGTTCGCGTTCCCGCGCCGAGCGCAGCCACAGTGGAGTTATCTACGTCCCGCCAAAGTACAACCAATAGCGCCGGCTTCTTATCCGCAACTAACGGCGGAGGCAAAGCATCTAGCACCCAGAGCAGACCAAAGCAGAGCACGGACGACGGACGATGGAGAACGGAGCAGCACGGAGCGGACAGCAGCAGCGTTCCCGAGCGAGTGAGCTGAGCGAACATCGTCGTTGTCGTCGTCGTCGTCGTTCATCGTCATCGTCGTGACTTGTGCGAAAAGCGTTCTTCTGCGCGTAACAGACCGATAACAGTTCTCTGTTAGCCAGCCCAGCTGCCGTCTCTCTCATTCTCCCTCCCTTATACGCTCTGGCCTGGCCAAACTGTTGCCATTTCGTGTGCATGTGAGTAGGTTGGTAGGTCACTGCCTTGTGTTTGGATTTGTGTGTGCTAGTGTGGGACGACTGTGTCTGAGTATGTTCCAGGCATAAGTTCATTAACGATGGCCACTTCGCGCAACAGTTTCGCTGTTTCGCTGTTCCTCTGTTCGTTTGTATGGGTCTGTGCACGTGTCGGGTACATCGCTTGTTTCTGTTAGCGTTACACGCCCCCCACACCACACAACAGCATACACCACAGGCTTCAATAGCTCGGGACACACAAATTTGGGGGTAATTGCCGGCGGCCAAACAGCAAGTTCGTATTAATGAATCCCCCCGATTTACACGTGCTGCCGCAGATTCCTTTGTGCGCCCATTCTAGAAAGGATTCATACGCTTTTCGGTTCTCGAACGTCCGGACGACTAAATGGGATTTTGGGAACTAACCAAACTACAGTCGGTAGGGCAGACTGGGGTTTGCGGACCACTCGAATGTATACACACAATGAATATAAATAGGGCCTGCTCGACTGATTGTCCGCTCTGGCTGAAAGGGTTCAATCGGATTTCTTTACACTCGTTCTCGTATGTATAAATAATATTGTCTAGCTGACCAAATTCTTGGCTTTGACTGACATTTGTATAGTTCTTGGATTGCAATTAATTTGATGTGCAAAGCTATTGTGATTCGCTTAAGAAATCTCTTAATTGGAAAAAAAACAGACCATTAAAACTTTTATGAAGTGATATTAATTCTGTAATTGCTGAAAATTGTGTGGACAATATCTCATTACTTAATTGAAATAGATGAAAATACTGTCATCACTTAAATACTTAATAGAATGAAACTACGCATTTTCCCATCCATATAATATGATAAATTAGAGTGAAAAAATGAGCTAAGAACTGCCTATTGTTGGAATTGTTCCAATGATTCCAGATAAATATGAATTGTTTAATATACAACTTTAATTTTGGGTTTTCGCCAATTGGGCGCTATGGGGGTGTGCGGTCACATTGTAATTAATTTGTACATGCGTACAGCAGCAGATGCTGTCGGTGATATGTCAGGCAGAATTCAGCGACCGCTTTATGACCATCTAATTAACTGGTCGGAAGGCGCAGGCAAATCCCAAATTAATTGGGAATTAGGCGCACCGAGAGCAGTACCATTTCATTGCTCTCTCTCTCTCTCTGCTAAATGTGGCCATAAAACAGTGGGCTGAACGGGGTCATGGCCCCTGGTTCCGACGTATGCAAATAATAAAACCGAAATTTGATATTGATTCCTTTTCTTTGCCAGTAATAAAACAAAAACCCACTCCCGCCCCTAGTTCAGCCTGGAATCGTAAAGGGAAAATCTAAAAATTCGTGCACGATGCGAGAGCGGGGGGAGCTGCCCGAAGCCTCTGGCATAAACTATATTTAACAATATGTTTATACGGTCTCTGTTTGCCCCGGTTTATGCACCGAAGTCAGCAAATCCTGACTTTTATGTTTGTATTTCAAATATGCAGACGATGGGGGATGAGCAGGGCCCAGGGCAGGGTTCTGCGAGTGCTGCGAGTGTCCACTCGAGACAAATGTCCCTGCGGCCAAAGGAGATGTGTGTTTATGGGGTTGGGGTAAAGTGGGGAAAACTTTTATTATTTGCCCAACTGGAAAATTATGAGTGTGGAGATATGTCGAAATGTATATACTCTTTAAAGGATGTCCAACCCCATGGATGCCAGTGGGAGAATATTTCAAAGATTGTTCTGGCGCAATAACCGTTGGTGAAGATCATCTAAAGTGTATCTTTCATTAATTAAATCAACTCAAAAATAATACCCATAATTCCTATGCAGCCCATAACAGCATAAAGTACTGAAAATCTACATACAGCTTTTCGTCTGTGTGCAAATCGCTGATGAAAGTAAATTAGTTGTGGGATTTGTGGCTGGATACTCGTAATCCACAAATCCATTTCCCATTTGATTAGCCAGCATATTTATCACTAAGTAGCCAAAATGTAGTTTGTCTAGGCCCATTTCCATTCCCCCCATCCCCTCGGGCGGGCTTTTCTCATTGTTATGCGTGCTATGCACAATTTTTCTATTTTTGTTATTGCAAGTGTGTGTGTGTAAGTATGCGGGGGGCTGGCACATGCGTGCGATTTATTTGCTGTCACCACAAACACAAACATCAACACCACACATTAGCAGAGACTTTCACACCCTCAGCCAACACTTCGGGCCGCAAATTAACCCGGACACGTAGCCCGCTTAGGCGGCCTAATCAAATAGAAGCGCCGAAATCAAACAACGACACCAGAGCACCAGCACGCAGAGTTAAGTAAATATATGTATGGGCTTTGACACCCACAGAGTGCCGGAGTGGAGTACTATACTGCCGCAGCCCAATAACACAGTTGAAGGTCTCTCCTGCTGTGCCACTTTTGCACCAAGCAGCACAGGTAAAATACTCAACGAATTGGCAAAGTTACGAAGCGATCGCTTAGCATCCACTGCTCAGTCTCGTTCTGTTAATCAGTTCCTATTGCTGCTGCTAAGCTGTAATGCCTTTGCTATCAGTTAGCAGCTGTTCAGTCCTTTGCAGTGGCTCGCGCTGTTAATATGCTCATGGAGATTATAGTGTTTTCTAAAGCATGATCAAGAAAAAGCTTTCCTAGTTAGAAACTAGTTTTGCTTCGCCTCCACTCCCCATTACGACTAGTTTGCGGTTTTGTAAGGCCTGATCTGATCGAGTGAAAGCTTCCTGTAGCTGCAGCTTCCTAGCACGCTCAGACGTAGATTAAATTTTCCATAATATTACCCACGAAAGCTTTCTGCTCGATGCACAATCATACTACTTAGTGGGGCTTGTAAGTATGCTATGTTTGTGGGCTGCTCGCTGTGGCAGTTTCTTGTGTTCGGCTGTATTAATTAGACTCCCCGGTAAACCGATTTCCCCCCACTGAGCGGCTGAGTGCTGGGCGGCGGGTGGTCGGTGGACGCCAGTAAATTGAGTGGCTCTAGATGATGAGTGGCATTTGTTATTCGCTTTCGTTTTCACATTCGCTTTGCTTTTGTTTCAGCATCAGCATCAGCTCCTGCTTGGGCTTGTGCTTTGAGTGGCTGGCACTTGAGTGGCGCTAAAGTCGTGGAAATGAGCTATCAACAGCTGCCGCCCCGGGATGTTTGCTTGCTCGGGCAACAGGCGGCGTGCATGGAAAACAGTTGTTGACATTCTTTAACATTTCTGTTGACTAGACGGCCTCCCAGCACGTGCTCAGGACACAGCTACAGAGCTACAGAGGCAGAAGCATAGGCAGAGACACCCAGAGACACAGCTGAGCATGCATATTTCATGGCATAAGCCCGGACTGTGTCCCACTCCGGGGAAGATGATTCGGGGAGCCACAACATCATTACAAACATCTCCAGCCCTCAGTTTACTTTGCTGTTGGTTCATTTATTTATGCACAAATATCCCCACAGAAGGTGCTCGCGGAAGCTGGCAAGCGGAAGGCAACATCAGCAAAAGCAACAGCTGCAGATGCTCAATTCAATCAATTTAAATCTTGTTGGTTTTCAAAGCTTCAGATTCAGGCCACACGACGGAAATTCCTGATTTTCAGAACTTTTCCATTGAACATCCGCAACAAAGCCTTGAAAGCCCAGAATAATTCAGGGAATATGAGTGAAAATGGCAGAGAAAACTCCAAGCCACTTAAATAGATTTTCGCTCCGGGGAACTTTATTAAATTGCATTGGAACTATCTTCGAACGTGAAATTTTGAACAGTGGCAAAGTACAGTATCCAAACAAAAAGGGATAGATAGTAATACCACCAATTTAGGGTATATGGGAAGAGGGAAACAAAATTCAAATATCTGAAATAGTTCCCGTCCTATTCAAAAATGAAATTAAAAGGTTTTAATGGGATTTGCTGCAAACAAAGTGGAATAAATACGAAATAAACTTGCCAATCGTCATAAAGGTTCCAGAGCTTGTTGCTTAAATCGTATTCAAGTCCATATGGTTGGGCTGGTCTCTCTTTGCGTTTCGTTTTAGCAATAAAACGCTCCAACTTCTGTGTGTTTATGTCCTGGCTGAAATACCAAACGAGAACCTAACCCAAGAGAATGGACTTTTAGACGTGGCTTTAAATTGTGCTTAAATGTAATATTTGTTTATTTTATTGCACAGTTGTGTGTGTTTGTGTGTGTGTGTGTGTGTGGCGCCTCCTTTTACTCCTTGTTCTTCTAACTCTGCTTACACACTAAAAACAGTGACAAATCAGACCCAGAATTGTGATTTCCCTTTCTTTGCTTCGCTTTGCTTTTTCTTTCATTGCTTTGTCCTTTCTTTCCTTTATGTATCGTACTCATGCTGCTGGCTCGTGTTTTGGTTTATATTTGCCTTAATCTGCGTAAATTGTATTTCATTTGATTTCATTTCCCCCCGCTGTGTGGAGTGGCTTGGTGTTGTGGGGGAGGGAGGCTGTGGGTGGTTCCCGCCACTGCAGCTTCAGACAAAGGGATGCCGCGTGCGTCGCTTGGCCTTCACGGGATACTCGTAGCCCTCGAAGTCGTCGTCCATTTCATCCTCGTGGTGTTGTTGTTGTTGGTGGTGGCTGCGACTGTGGTGCTTCTTGGGCGGTTCGTGGTGGTGCTCCTTGACCGGTACCGGAATGGGCAACGGGACCTTCTTAATGACCGTCTTCGTGTGGACATGTGTGTGGTGCTTCACCGGCACGTGTATGCGGATCCTGTAATGGAAGGGGGTCGAGACGCTCATGAGCTTCATGTGGCACGAAGTGTGTCGTTAAAGGCGTGTCAGGGCTTTGGTAGTGGGGGAACTGCTCTTACTTCAGCTTCTCGCTTGATGGATGGCCGCCAGCCAGCGTGAACATCACGCAAGTGATAAACAGAAAGCTCAGCGCCTGAAACGAAACGAGTAAAAGGATTACGATTAGGTCCAATGCATGAGAGGATACGTCCTGATTCTCTACGCGAGTCAGGAGCAGTAACAGGGCTACGACACAATTAGCATAATGCCTAAAAGAGGAACCTTCGTACTATTGCCTGGCATATCCCGTGCTCATGGGACCTTTCCTCATCATCATCTGCTGACTGCTTTTGATAGGGGCGTGACAGAAGCTGTCAGCAGCACAAGAAGGACAATGGGGAGGTGGTCAAGACGGAATTAGAAAGCCATTTTGGGGCTCTTCCATGGGTAGTTGATTATCTCGAATGGGATTGGTGGATAAGACAATGAGTCCTTCAAATCCCTCAATCAAATGGTTCTGAGTTCAGCAGCGAAAAAGCCAAATAATTGTCTTTGCAAATGCCCTTTTAAGTTGAGTCTCGTGATACGGGATTTTTTGTTTGACAACAGAAGACAAATCTACGAAGGAATTTTGATTTGGAAAGTAAAAGACTTTAAAACTATTTAAATCCATGAAGAATTTGCGATGAACGCAAAGATTCATATATGATAAATTGTGAATATTTTTATTTATATAACTACGCATTTTTTAAACAACAAATTTAAGGAATTATTTTTATCTCGCACTTTTTTTCGTTCTTTTTCGTTAATGAAAGTTTTCCATTGTGGTCTTATGCCACCCCACTGGTGCTTAACCCTCCCCTCTCTACTCTGGCGAAATGACTTTCCCTGTGTTGCACAATTTGGTTGAATTAACTGTTTATGGGCCAAGCGGGAGTTCTTTTCGTGTTTTCAGCAATTGCCCAATCATAAAAAACCAATTATGTTTGTGTGGTTTTTTTCCATTTCATATTTCTGTTATGTTTTACTCATTTCACGCGCGATTGGAGATAAATTTTGTTACACAATGGAAGTTTTTATTCTCGTATTTTCCGGGCACTTTTTAGCGGAGTTATGTGCGGACTTTCTAAGGTGGATTTCAATTTGGTCAGTCTGTTGTTATTTGGTTTTTTGGTTTTTTCCCTGCATTTGTGTGCATTCTTTTTTTTTTGCCCGTGAACGCCTGTCGCTGACGGCAACATGCTGCTTCCGAAAAACTGAAATATTTTTAGTGCTCCAAAGGTATTGCACTCGCTTTTTCATAGGCCTTGTTCACCCGAATGGAATGAGTAATTAAACACTTACTCCTTGGGGCAAATGCATTGTTATTCGCGTATTGGTTTGACCCCAGTATTTTCTGACGGTTCGGCTCGTTGTTGTTTGATTGGATTAAAAGTGCGGATTTTGGTTAACCATCGACGGCGCGTGTAGAAACGAAATTGCTGTGGGACCTGCCGCCTGCGTCCGCTTAAATATGAAGCAAAAAGCGAAGAAAAAAAATTATGAGTGCCTTTGCCACTGCCACTGCTGCTGCTACTGCTGCTGCTGCTACAGTGAAACGTGCCACAACTGTAAATGAACAACACTGAGCGCGAGAGTGGGCCACAATGGAGTTGCCGGAGTGGAAACATGGTGGAAAACAAAAACACAATCAAGTCAAAGTTTTCCAACAGAGGGGGCGGGCGGAAGCGGTCTGCCGTCGGTGCCTTGTCCAAGTCAAATGCGACAAGCCGAGGCCTGGGTCCAGGTCCAGACTTGCGGCACGGCTAACTGTCGTCTGGTTTGAACCATTCCAAGTGGCTGCGGCTCGCACCGACGCTGCCATGATGCTACAGCCGATCCCTCGCGATTTCTACCAGAAGTTGGAAGAGTGGATGGGAAGAATGTGCCTGTTATAATTACAAATCCCTGAGGAACGGATAGAGAATAAATTCAAATTTAATGCACGTGCTTCGCCGGGATTAAACATTTTCTAGATTAACCAAAACAATCGATTATATTCTAAAGATTACAATGAGATGATGTCATTTCAACATAAAGTTCCTTTACTTCCATTTTTCTATTTCAATCAAAAATTTCCCTCGCATTGTGATTGATAGGAAAAGCCACTCGAAAATCTTTTATGAATCTTGTAATTTTAATTTTAATTGGCAAAAAGTTCCAGCTTCTATCTCTGTTTCTAAAGGCCTCTAATATGCCTTACACACGGCTCGCAGTAGGGTGCATTGCCACCCTGACATGATATGATAGTGAAAATACACCACAAATAAACTTTAACTAAAACCAAAAGAAAACCCAAAGAAACATCAAAAGCAACCACTCAAGCTCAAAGCCACAAGCCCCATCTCAGTCACTCTCGCTGTCAAGAAGCCACCAAACATGAAGTCAAAGAGAGAGGACAAACAGAGAAAGATAGAGAGAGAGAGAGAGAGATAGAGAGAGAGAGAGAGAGCGAGAGGGCGAGAGAGATAAGTGTAATTGAAGCTTTTGCCTGAGTTAAACGCAGCGATTATGTCGGTCTGCCTGCCAGGCAGCCAGTGGCCACCACAGGGGTGACGATAGTTTTGGTGAGAGTGAGGGGAAGTGCAGTACGGCGCCAGCACAATGTTGCAGTTTCAACTGCTGCCGTTACTGTTGCAAGTGGCATCAAGGATTTGGTTAGCTTCCTGGTTAGACATTTGGATTCGGATTTGGATGTTTGGTCGTAAATTGAGTTGTGCGCTGAAATATGTCGTCATGTCAACTGCACAGCGCCCTGACCGTGCATTCAGGCTGCCACACTCCGCACCGATTGCAATTTAAATGTGCAACACGATGGCAATTCATTTGATTGGCCATTCTTGCCGCTGGGCCAGCGACGAAAAAAGCGACGAGAGTAATGCAGGAAGCGCACCATTTCAACCATTTCAGCCATTTCGGCCATTTCGGCTAGCTAATCAACTGGTTTCGCTGCTGTCACCGCCGCTGATGTTGCATAACAATGAAAAATCCAGACCGGCACGACACTTGGTCATTGTCTTCGCGGCGTTGCATGGCCAGGCCGGGTCTGGCTGTTCCAGCTAGTTTTCTGCCTGCCGCTGCTGTTCCGCTTGACATGATATAACTCGAATTTTTCTTTACTTTCAGATGTATATTCCACTTTATTGGTTTTCTGCATCTCTCCGCACTTTTTGGCAATTAGCAGACATTTTTTGATGATATAATCATAAAATAGGAATGAAATATGATCGCAGCACTGACCGGTTAACGCCAAATTTTCCACCATGTTTTTGCATTGGCGAAAAGTGTCAAAATTAATTGCTTATATGTAAATGTATGTACAAGGTGCCACAGGCCGGTAGACCGTGGCAGGTATCGGGTCATTAGCACCACATTGGAGTGAATGGTGGCGACAATCAAATCAAATCATATCACATCAAATCCCATCCAGTCCGGCTGGGGCAACTCAAGTCCAGTCAAGTGCTACCGACCGAAAGCCTTTCCATCAAAAATGTATCGTCAATATTTGTGTGGAGGCGATTGAGTGGAGCTAAAACAGAAAACTGGCACAAGGCCAAGGGGAAAACTTTACCCAGAGATTAATAGTGGAGATGGTCAACAGCAAAGGCAAACCAAAGGCCAAACTTTGCTTAACATGTTGTTAACCCGAAGCGCCTTTCACTTCGGCCCGTCCAGGCCAGGGATTATCCAACTATAAGCTCCGGAAACCGATACATCAGGCCTGTTGTTGTTTCCCCGTCTCCCCGCCTGACGCCTCGGCCAGTCCGTCTTCTTTCCCCGCCATTTCCTTCTGCAATAAATTTTCACTTAACTATGTCGATCATCGAACTACAAGCAGCCGCACCACCGCATATGCAATGTGCAACATTCATGTGCATCACCACACGCCCCACTGCACCACCCCCATCGCCATAAGCTCTCATTGTTGGTCTGGGCGGGCAGGGGCAGGTGGAGGTGGTTTGTGTGTGACACAATTTTCCAGTTTGCCAGTTACGCCTCGTGAATTTAATTGACGGAAGCGAGTTAAAATTGCAAAGGCAAACCAATCCACAGCAACAAAAAAAACTCGGAATATGGATATAAAAACAAAGTGAAAATTTCATGTATTATGCATTTGCATATTCGGGCTGGGGCAGAGTTTCCCGCTTCATCTTTGTACATAATTGATGGCCAAAGTGAGGAGTTCATCCAGCAGGGGGCCCGGTCCCGGTCCCCGTTGGGCAGTGAGCCGAGCTATTCGCTATCCGAAATCCCTGATTACCTGAGGTTTGCAATTTTCACAAAATTAATTTCAAAAATTGTTCAGTTTTTTCACAATTCGGTTACATATGCTGCTGTTGAATTTTAAGCCTCATGCTTAGCTTCCGTTGAATCACTATAAAATGGTTTAAGGATAAAGTTCAAGAAATATTCGCAGGCAAAACTATTTGCTTTGCTGACTTCATCAAAAGCGACCTTGCCACAAAAAGCCGCAATCTTGTGCATGCATATGCATGAACATACTATGTACATACATATGTGGCTATAAATCTACTCTTCCCAATGCTCAATGTGACAAGTGCGGCAATGTTTTAGTTTACCCCAAACATGGATTTGCGTTTAACGGGGCACGCAGGTGTCGTTGTTGTAGTTGTTATCGCTGCTCTTGTTGCGTATTGAAAAATAACATTCTCATACGAGATTCTCTCCTCTCGACTTCTGTCGAGTGGCACGTTTTTATGGCCACTGAGACTGCTGGCTGCTGGGTTGGCGTGGTAGGGGTTGGTGTTGGTGTTGGTTGCTGCTGTGGAGGGATGCCTTAATTTATGGCTATCAAATACAAGTTGGACGATTGCCATTGTTTGGCTTGCGACAAAAGTTTGCTGAACTTGGCAGAAATGAAGCCCCCCAACACACACATGCAAGCAAAGTTGTGTGTTTTTCTTGCCATTCGGAGAAATTTTGGACCTAGCATCAGCATCAGGTGGCACTCGTGGATAGGTTTTACTGAGGGTTTTTGTTTTTGTTTTATATTTGAATAATATTCATTAAATAGCTTCAGTTTGGATCAAGATACATAGACTTTATCTCCATATCGGTTAATCTGCATCTAGTTTGATCAATATCCAGCATCTCCTCTTCCTCTCTTAACGTAAAATCGAAGACAATAAAAGGCTTACTCACCTGCAAACTTAGATTCATTGATCAGATTCCCTCATAAATACCCCCTCGAGCATAAGGCATGATTAAAGAGCACCCGGATCTTGCTTCCGGGGGTGTCCATCACAGCTCTTCCGGTTGCCGCTGCGCGGAGTCTGCAATTCCCATTGGAATTAATTGACTTTTCATTGGACGCGGATTATAAATGCAAAATCGGACATCGAACAATGCCGCTCACCAATTAATTAAATTTTTCATTTTAATTGAACAATGAGAATAATAAAGGCAATTCAAACTGCTGCTCTCCGTCTCCGTATCCGCCTCCCATAGACTAACAATCCAACTTCTCCCCCCCCGCAAGTAAAACTGTACAAAATGTTTTCTTTATGATTTTCTTTTGTTTTCTCTTTTGGTTTTCTTTTGTTTTTGTTTGGTTTTGTATAATTCAGATTACATTTTATTGTTAAGAATGAATTGAATTACTCATGCTTCCTCTACTACAGCTTCGCTTCTGCCTTGTCTTCTCAATCGGCTTTTTCAACATTTTCCCGCTTTTCATCTGCGGTCTATCCATTTGATGCTCGCCCTTTTCTGATTTATGTTTCTGTTTTATCATGAATCATATTAATCGTTCAATCATAATAATAACCATAATGCAGTATGACATAATATAAATAGAATAATCAGGATCATACGTACACATATGTTCGGTATGTATGTTTCCATGTATGATTTATGTATGTATGTATATAATTCGATTTACCTAAAAACAATTTACAAATATATAAAAACGAATTTGCCTAATAAACTAAACCTACATCCGTATGTGTGTGAGTGTGTGGGATGGTGTTTGATAGTGTGTGACAGTGTGTAATAGTGTTAGTGTGAATTTTCATATAAAAAACGATTTCATTTTGTTTCATTCGTTTGTGTTTATGGGTGGAAATGTACTCGCATAGAGTATCCATGTCTCCGGATACTTTGATTCATGATTCATCTTGGACTTATTATTGTTTTATGCAACATACATACATTCGTGTGCCACTACCCCCGCTTCTTGCCCCCTCATTGCGGATTTGTTTACAACTGATCTGCGTAAATATTGTATTGTATCGGCTACAGGTTTTCGATTTATTTATGTTCGTGTTGGGCCATTAAAAAACGCAATAGAATTGTTTGAAATTAAACATGCTTCGAGCCCTGCTCGTTGAAATACAAATAACAAATTTTCTCATATTCTCTGTGGTCTGGCAGGGCACTCAGAAAGGTCGGGTGGTCAGGGCAGGGCGGCGCAAACAAGTTGCGCATACGTCACGTTGTGCAGTTTCGTACAGAGACGAGTTGATGCAATTTGTATGCTACCTGAGAGCTCACAGAGCCTTTAAGGGGAGCCTTTTATGCAGCATTAGCCGTTAAGTCTATTAAAAAAGAACAGTGAGCTGTGCGGATAACGAAGAAATCCTCTCTGGTAATGTAACATGCTTTGAAAATTACACAGAAGATTGGCTAAGATGAACTGAACTAGATAAAATCTATACAAGTGAGATTCAACCCTGACGCTTAAGACCAGTACATTAGCTGCGTGAAATACGTAGATGCTACTTTGTAGGCACTGGCTAAAGATATTTCTAAATCCAAAACTTGAAAAGAAGCGAATCAGAATTAAAAAACTAAATTTATTTCCAGTGTGACCTGGGCTAAGCTTCAGGGGTACGGATACCCCATTGGATCAGTCTGACCAATCTGCACTGTGGCCAGCATTCTTTTTCATCCATCCCTTCATACATTGTTTATATTGCTTTTTTGTACACCTTTTCGAGAATGTTTTTTGTGTGTGTGTGTTTTTGTGGGTGACTCCTGGCGGATGATCATTTTTATCTGGCAAGGGCAGCGGCCAGAGACCCTCATTAGCATACGAGTTTATCAGAGTGTCTGTGACTGTGAGAGTGTATCTGTGTGTTTGTGTGTGGTTTTGTGGGTGAGCTGTATATATGTGCAACAGTCGGCCTAGAGCTACTTAATCATATATCATATATGTATAATTTGCCTTTCTTTCATATATAGAGGTTTTTGTATATATAATGAATTCTTTTTACCTTCTCTTGGTTTCTGTTTTTGCTATTTTATTGGGACACAGATTTCCTCCTGTCGTTTCATATTTTATTCAAAGGGGAGTCCGGGTTTTTTTTTTGCTTCTTTTTTGTTATATAAATGTAAATATCGTAACATAATAATTATGCCATATATATATATGCTAATTTAAATTTATTTTACTCATTTTACACCTGTCGAGCTCTCAGTTTTGCATTTTCAGTTTTATTTTAAAAATTTAACCATTTCTTTCACTAAAAACTTAGCGTAAAAAGTTAACAGTAAATATATCTATATATATATATGTATATATGTGTGTTTCTTGTATATATATATATCATATATAGATACACTTTGTTGCCGCGTCTTCCACTCTAGCCAACTCAACGTCACTGTATAATATTTAATAGATTAGCTTCCTTTCTGCTCATTTTTTCTGTATTTCTTCCACTTTTGAGGGGTAGTTTTCAACAAAGTTTGGTTTTGGGGATTGGTTTTGTTTTATTTCAAGTTTGAAAGCTGCTCCCTTGCTTTGTATAAACTAAAACTAGTTCCGTATTCTCTATAATGTATATGTGGTTTGTATATATATAAAGTATTCTTAGTTTCATCCAATTTGTTTTATTATTATTTTTTGTTGTTTGTTTTGTTTACTAAGGCCAAAAATGTCGAACTGAAATTACGTCCAATCGACTGACTACCCAATAAAAAAAATGAGTTTCGCAATTGAAGTAAAAATTGTAGTCCCTGTCCCAGTTCTATGTTGGCTAGTGTAAGCTTTGCAGCGCGGGTGTAGATGTGGAAAGGATCTGGGCGAAAAACTCACAAAAATTATCTCTTCGCTTTATGTTCTTGTTTTTTGTTTTGTGGAATTGCAAAATGTAGTTTATTGGTTTTTTTTTGGTTTTTTTTTTTGTTTTGTTGTGTATACATTTTAATCATAATTTTCCTTGTTACTTGTATAATTAATTGTAATTAATAATTATGCCTGCCTGCTGAATTTTTGTTTTACGTTTACCCAAAACTTTTTTGATTTTGTTTAAACTTTAAATTTAGTACAAAATGACGGTGTAGCAGGGATAGGGGAAGGGGCATAAGCGGAGGAAGGAAGGGGGGTAGTTAAGACACACCAATTATCACCTACTATCCAATGTGTTTTGTTGTTGTTGGTTTCTTTATTCACTAAGTTTAACTAATTTATGTAATGTAAGCATGTTCTGTGTGTGTGTGTGTGTTTCAGTGTGTATGTGTGTGTAACGTCTTTGTAAAGTCAGTCAGTTATATAAAGGTATATATGTATACATATATGTATCAACCAAAAAGTTGCCGCTTCTTTTGTCTTTCTAATTTTCATGAAGATTTCCATTAAATTTTCGCATAATTTTTTGCCTGGTTGTGGGCTGGGTGAAGGCGTTAGGTGAGGGGGGCGAGGGCATGCTGTCTGGGTCCGTCCGTCAGTCTGTTTTGATTTATTAATTTTTGTTGTATTTAAGTTGTTATCTTATAAACAATAAAAGTTTCATAATTATGCGTAGGATTTCATATCAAAAATTGTTTGTTTTTCGTTTTATCTTTTTCTTTATTTTTACTAAACCTTGGAACCGGATTGGGATTTGTCTATCATGTATATATATATTGGTAAATATATATATATAGAGCTATATATACGTGTGTGTATGTACGTAATTATTTTATATATAAGAAATTAATAAAAAATTGTTTTTAAACAAAATATTGCATACTTTTATGTGCTTGTTTGAATTTTCTTATATTTTCCCATTTTTTGTTTCGATCTCTCTCTCTCGATTCTGCTGCATTCTCTTACTTATCATCTTATCATCTTATCCGTTTATTCTCCTCTTCATCTTCGTCTAATGTAAAATGTAAAAACGTAACGGTAAATTGTAAATATATTGTAATTGCATTAATCAATATAATTATAAGAACACATTTTCCGAGATATTCGATTTTGTTGTTTACAAAGAAATACGGCCTATATGCGTGCATATAGTATAGCCGATAAGACATAGTTATACATACATCTCCTGCATATATAATACACATACTTCAGTTTACAACGAAAGGCAAAGACAACCTAGGCGGGAGTGGGCGTGGGCGTGGGCATGGGCGTGGAGCAGATGAATGATGGGGCGGGGTCTGGTGTAATTAAATCTTTAAGTACTTGGTCAGGGCTTGCCTGGGGATACTCGTGGGATAACTTGGCTGATGGGTAGATGGGGGACCGGGACCGGACCTGGATGCGTAACCTTGAAAATCGAAAACTTTGAAGCCCTTTGCTCGAAATGCAATTGGTTTCTCTATGAAGCAAAAAGTCTTAACTGAGTAACAATATTTTTGAAATATTTTCCCTTCCCTTGCGTTCTCTCTCTCATCTCTCTTTCGCTCTGTCATATATAATGTATATATGTATATATATATATAGAGTTCTTTTTAAGTGAGTCCTTGGCGAGGATCACATCCTTGGTTGTATGCTAGCTTAAATCATGATAAAGTTGTTGTATTTGCTGCTGTTGCTATTTTTTTCTGCTTCTGCTGCTGCTGCTGCCCATATTTTTTCCTGTTCCTGCGTCTGCTGTGGGACAGCCTCAGTCCTCGAGCAGCGACTGCTGCGTGGCAGGTGGCATGGTACACCCCCCGGCACCCGCATCCTCAGCAACATCATCCGCGGACGTCTCCATGAGCTGTTGCTGTTCTTGTTATGTCAGATCCTGCTGCGAATCTATTGAGAACAGCTCCTTGTACAGCGCCGGGAATACCACGGTCGGATGTTGTTGCTTGAACTTGCTCAGCGACTCCATGTGCAAAATGGAGATGTCGCTGCAAAGATGCGGAAGATCACAGATTAGTGAGATATGGAATATTTGGATATCAATTCAGTGTGTTGCAGAACTGCAGTGTGGGTCAATTGAGAGTCCTCAATTTATCTTGCAGCTCTTAGACGCACTGTAGATCGCATAGGAGTACCTACCGGAAATTGGGTATATTGTTCAGCAGTGTGTCCAGCACGGTGACATCGCCCTTGAGCGGCGCATGATTCGTTTCCAGCT